ACGGTTTAGTTGAATACTTGACTCTGATTGGTCAATTCAGAACATGTGACAAGTTGTCAATCCAGTAGAACAGACCGCTGTCAAGGACTGTGATGACCGTTGCTAAGGACTGTAATGACCGCTGTCAAGGACTGTGATGACCGTTGCTAAGGAGGATCGAGAAAGAGAAATAATGAAATGTTTCCACACAAATGTTTTGCAAATGTTTTGCAAATTATTTGGCGGCCCCCTTGGACACCTGCATTAAAAAAAAGGCTTTTATTGTGAAATTTCTACAGGAAGTGTTGAGTTTAAAAGAATCTTAAGAAAATATTAAGTATATTGTTTATTTCTACCAATATTTATGTTGTTTACTTTTTGCTTTTTATCGATTTTAAGTGTTTTATTTGTTTGTTACATTTTATACAATTAAATATATATTTTCTTTTTTTTGTATTTGTGTCTTAAATAATAATAATAGATAACATTTGTAAATAGAGCCTTTCAAGGGACCCAAGGCCGCTTTACAAGGTAAACAAGCAAACAAACAAGAGGGGCAAATAATAAAGTAAAAGATGAATAAATAGCAGTAGGACTGTGATGGGTTAGGGGTCAAAGGTCATGGTGAACAGACTGTGATGGGTTAGGGGTCAAAGGTCATGGTGAACAGGTGAGTTTGAATGAAGACGTCTCAAACTGACAGAAACAATGACTGGTTTTCTTTGTATTTTCTACGTCAGCGGCTCCATCTCCAGAGTGAGGGGGGGGTCAGAGGGGGTGTCAGAGGGGGGGTCAGAGGTCAGGTCCCTCCTCTCGTAACTAAGCGCCCACATCAGCGTCAGGCTCAGCGCCATGGCAACGATCTGAGCCACGCCCAGCGCAACGCCTAGCAACCGCAACGCCTGCAGAGCGCCGCAACCGCGCACGAAGGAAAACACCCGGGGCCCGCAACCCTGGGGGGAATCACAGATATACATTACTAGATATACCTTCATATTCACTTATTATAAGGGTCACATAAATAAAGATTATCAGCATATTTTAAATGAAATAAAAACTATTAAAATTATAACAAATAAATACATGTAAAACTAAACAAAAAAATGTATTACAATAAAAACAATAAAGCCTCACCTCCTGGTGCAGGTCGCTGAGGTCGTGCAGGTGGGCGTGGCCTGCACATCCTGGATACTGATTGGAGCAGCATGAGTCAGGGGGCGTGTCCATCTCTGTCATTTCCAGCCAATCAGTGAAGTAGATCACCCCGCAGCACTGGAACTACAGGAGAGAGTCAGAGAGGGTGTGTGTGTGTGTGTGTGTGTGTGTGTGTGTGTGTGTGTTTGTGTTACCTGTGTCTGGATGCTGTCCCAGGTGTGTGTGTGTGTGTGTGTGTGTGTGTGTGTGTGTGTGTGTGTGTGTGTGTGTGTGTGTGTGTTACCTGTGTCTGGATGCTGTCCCAGGTGTGTGTGTGTGTGTGTGTGCGTGTGAGAGAGAGAGAGTGTGTGTGTCTGTCTGTGTGTGTGAGAGAGAGAGATAGAGTGAGAGAGTGAGAGAGGGTGTGTGTGTGTGTGTGTGTGTGTGTGTGTGTGTGTGTGTGTGTGTGTGTGTGTGTGTGTGTGTGTGTGTGTGTGTGTGTGTGTGTGTGTGTGTGTGTGTGTGTGTGTGTTACCTGTGTCTGGATGCTGTCCCAGGTGTGTGTGTGTGTGT